CAAAAGAGCAGTCATCGTTGAGTCCGCTTCAGTTGGCGTAGGAACGAGCTGGAAGACAGCCGGACGTAGGAACGAGCTGCGACGTAATGTGCTGCGTCCTCGGACGATGGAAAGGCGGTCTGGCCATCCCCGGTGTCGCCCTCGCGGGCGTGGGAGGTCCCTGCCTGGTCGTCACCGTTGGTGATTGGGACGAGGGCGGAGTTGTGGACAACGTCGTTGTGACGTGGACTAGTCATGATCTTCGAAATTTGAAAATAAGAAGCTTTGGTTCTTCTGCTCGGAGGAACAGGGAAGCTTAGGTTCCCACAGACGGCGCCACTGATCTGACCTGATCTGAAGGAAATCAATGACCTGCCATGCATCGTTGATCTGCAAGCTGTTCACCGGAAGTAGGGAGGAGGAGGGGGGTGTACCTGCAAGACACTCCGATGTCAAAGTAAGTAGTGGATCAGAGTGGAAGCAAATACAGAAGAGAGATAGAGAATTGAATACCTAACCCTATAGTGAAAGAGGGTATTTATAGTGAGGCCCCAGCGCTGGACCAACGGTTACTTGTGTTGGGCTGGATTGTCAGACCCAACCCAGGTGACTGCTAGGGCTTACGTGGCGTACTGAAGACCAACACATAGTCTTCGTCCTAGTTCAACCGTCTCGTGATCTCCGGAAGGTGGGCTGACCAGTTGTTTCGGAGGTGGGTAGTTGGCTGATGACGTGTGGAAGAGGTGTTGTTCTGTCCGACGGGGAGAGAGTCTGTCCGACGGAAGGAATTGTGCCCGACACTGAGTGATTTGGGCCTTTTCCTAAATGACGTTGGGCTGGACCTGCCCGACGGATGGGCAGACTTAGATCCAGTTCAGAACAATATCTTTTTATGATGTTCCTAATTTATTTTTGTTCTTCTTTTTTATTTATTACTTACAGAGTTTTTTATTTAATTTTCTAATTGGCGTGTGTTGGATTTATATGAATCAGAATGATGAATGATTACAAAGTGGAGACGATCAATGATGACATGCAAGAGTTCTTTGTAGAATTTCATGGACCTAAAGACAGTAAAGTTTTTTTTTTTTCATACTTGTATAATTTTTTCAATTTTTTTGTTGTCAAATCGCAGAAAAAATGATTCATGTGGTGTTATTCTCTTCGGTGAAACCTTTTTTGTTATGTAAAAATTGAAATGTTTTTCTTTAGATTGTATGAATTTGAATTCAATGTGAAGTTTTTATGTGTTTGGATTAGAAGTTTTTATGATATTAAATTTGAAATTGGTAGTGCTAAATTATCAGAGTGATTGTAATTTAAAATTGAATGTGTTAAATTATTGGAGTTATTGCTAAATTATTGGAGTTATTGCTAAATTATTCCAGTTACTGAAGATACAAGTTTCTTTTATGCCATGGAAGTTAATACTAGTAATTGTATGAGCATATTCTGGGCTGATGGCAGATCTTGATACTCATCTATAATTCTATAATGTGAATCATAATATTATACAAATTCGAGTTCATTGGTTGTTGATTATTTTGTGATAATAATATTGTGTTATATTTTTTTACACACTATTAATAAAATTTGCGGAGTTTTTAACCTCAAAAAATAAAACTATTTTTAATTTGAAGAAAATACTAATTTTTTAATATAATATATTGACTCAGTTTATTAACAAATGTCCTGCTAGTAGTTTTTTTTTTTATAGAAAATTTAACGGTAAAAATTAATTTGATTAACGAAATAATTTTTAAGTGATTAATATGGAACCTTAATTAGGTAAAGAACTAAAATGAAATTTAAAATTAAATTAAAGTATTTCGACAGTAATTAAGAAAAAAATTATAATAGTGTTTGTTTTACGCTTTGAGTTATTATAAAAAAATTATAAACCAATTATAATTATTATTTTCTCAGTTTCTTTTTAAGTGTCACTTTTTTAATAATTTTTTATTAATTTTTTAATTGTCATTAATAAAGTTCAAGATAATATTAACTGTATTTTTATTAAAATTATTTTTAACTATTTATTACAAAGAGAAAAAAAATAAAAACAGAAATGTACTAAAAAATAATATGAGAATTATTACGTGAAAAGTAACAATATTATTTGTTTTTCTTAATATATGTAAAAAGTGAAAGAAAAAAATAATTAAAAAAAACGGAAGGCATGCTATAAAGCATATCAATATAAATTTTTATTTTCAATATAAAAATGATTTTTCTATAATATAGTGGTGTGCGTGCTTCATTTGAGTTCTTTTTTAATAACTTGCAAACAAACTCTGCCTATTGCTTTCTTGGCTTCTTCAATTAAAAAAGTCAGTTTACTATTATAAGATCCACACACTGTTCTGATCTATATATTATCTTCAAAATTTTAAGCAAAGATAGATGGATGTTGTTTGGATTCAATTATCAATGGTCCAACAAGATAAAATGTAACTCAATGAAGCCAACAAGTCAGCACTTACATTGATGGTTTTGTATTATTTTACCAGTTGCACATGCAACTTGCATTATTATCCTTGATATATTCAAGAAATTATAGAAAAAATACAGTTGTTGCAATTAAAATTGTAATGCAGTTGAGTGGTCTAGTTTACACTTAATATCAATATAGATAAGTGTGGGGATGTAAATGGAGCATTGTAAAATTTTTTTGAATGGTTTGAGAGCTGAGTGGATTTAAAAGGTTAATAGGTTGATGTGATTTTGGATGTCTGAGCGATTTTGATGAAGTTTAAAATCTGTGAGAGATTCTAATCATCTTTTAGAGGTTATCCGGTTACGGTCATTTGGTGGTGACAAACTATCGTTTGGATCAATATTTTTTTCCCTCTTTTCTTGACGAACCCTATTGATTGTTTGTTTACGTTAAAAGTGGCTGTTGATTCGTTAATTAAGGTGGATTGTGGTTGGATTTTTAGTTTAGCTATATGTTGGACCATTTGGTTTTGATAGAATACTATTCTCTTTGATGGTGGTTTTATGGATAAGTTCGATGGGTTGGATTTGATTAAGCATTTGTCGTGAGATTGCGTTGTGATCGGGAAAAATTTGGGTAGTTTGTTTTCTTGGTTTGAGTGATGTGTCACTCCAACTACTGTTTTGGCTTAGGTTGTTCCGCTCGTAGTTGTGCCGATGTCTTTTCTGTTGTATCGATTTTGGTGGGTTGTGCATCCTTTAAGAAGTCATTTTAATATATTTTGCTTATACAAAAAAAAATTTGTGAGTGATTTACCTTGTCTATTATTAATGACAACTACATCTTTCGAAAAGATTGGTGTAGTTTTGTTTACAACTCGTAGTTTGTTTTCTTTTATATTAATTAAATTAATAATAAAAATTTTAGAAATTAAAGATTAAAAACTTTAAAAAAATCAAAATTTTTATGATAAATTCTATTATTAATGACAACTACATCTCCCGGAAAGATTGATGTAGTTTTGTTTAGGACTCATAGTTGTCTTTATTTTCTTTTGTATTAATTAAATCAATAGTAAAAAATGTAAAAATCAATGATTAAAAATTTAAAAAAAATCAAAAAATTTATGATAAATTTATTTACTTTTTAAAATTTAATCTATGAATAATGACCATTAAATTTTTAAATTTAAATTTTAAAATAATAATTATTTAGCTAAATTATAGTTTTCATCTTCCTATTTGATTTGATTCACAAAGTTAGTCTACATCTTTTAAAATCAAACAATTTTGATTCTCCTATCACTTTCTTACACTTCAAATCGATAGTGTCAGATGTATAATTTATAATTTTTATTTATAATTTTTCATAAAAGATTCTAATATGATGATTTATCAAGTGATACATCATTTAAAAATAAATAAATTGTTAATTTTAAGTGCAAAAATATAAAAAAGAACCAAACTTATTTAATTTTAAAATAGAAAAATTAATTATGTGAATCAGACGAAATAAAATCACCAAAACTAGAATTATGCTTCATAATTTAGATCTCTTTATTTTAGTAAAATTAAATATATATTTGAAACAATTCATAGAAAAATATGAAATAATTTAAAAAAATTATATTAATCAAAAGATATTTTAGTATTTTAAGTGGAATAGAGACTCTCCAAAGAAAGAATATATGTTGATCATCTTCATTCATCTTTTAAATGTTTTTCGAAAAACTTTGATCCTCAATATTTCTCATCTTTGAGGACAATTTATGCAAAAATCTCTATTAGCATATAGAAGTTGACATCTCTAAATAAAATTAATAATATTCGAGTGAAATTTGTCAATATAATTTATCTTCCGTGTTATATATATATATATATATATATATATATATATATATATATATATATATATATATATATATATATATATATATATATATATATATATATATATATATATATATATATATATATATATATATATATATATATATATATATATATATATATATATATATATATATAAATTACTTAATAAATTAAAAAAATAAAAATTATATAAAGAGAATGAAAAAGAGTAATATTTAAGTCATTAGAGTGAACTTTGCATATTATAGGGAAAAAATTTAAAATAAAACTGAAAAATAATTTAGGTGCAGGTTTTGTATGGATAAATTAAACCAACTTTAATTCTAATAGATATAAATCTATTAAGGTTATTGAATTTATCGGCAAAAACATAAAACAATTCTTTCATTGAAATTTATATAATTTACTGATTCATCAAAAATGAAAAAAACACGATCCCATCTAAACTTCAACATAACTAAAATTCAAAAGAGAGAAAGAATCAATAGTAGACAATAATCCACCACTGTTCCTAAATCTCTCCCTTCCCTTCAAACTTATTAGAACCACATTTATTCTTTTCAAAGATAGCAATTCCACTTTCTGTTAGATATTATTTCCACATCTAAGAGATTGATAGAATTACTATAATCTTTACGTTTTTGTAATTTTGTAACATTTTACAAAAACGTAACGATTATTGTAATTCTGTCAAACCAAAGACACAGAATCATTTAAACGGGAGGTTTATACAACTCAACAACCTTCTTCCAGGATGGCCTAGTACTTATATCATCCCACCAAGCACTAACATGCTTCCTATCCTTAATCAAATACTCTTTCCCCATATGGTTAACAATATAATCAGTAAAAGGAAGGTGACTCATATCAGCCAGACTGAAAAAATCACCAGCCAAATACTTGCTCTTCGAAAGCCTCTCTTCATAAATGTCCAGCACCTTCCTGAGCTTCGCTTCACTCTCTTCAATTACCTTAGGATCTGAAGTCTTGCTAGCTGCTAGTGCAGGAAACAGAACATGAATGGTCAAGTTGTATGCTGGTGGATTATAGCTATGTGCTTCAACTTCTAACCATTGTTCTATAAGACCCTTTTCTTCTATTGTTTTTCCTAGTAACTCAACTCCTTGAGATCTGTATTTTTCAGCGTAGTATCGCATTATAGCCCGAGATTCTGCACAAACAAATAGTATCACTAGTCATATATTAGAGTTAAGTAGAAAAGTATATATAAGATGGGGTTAAGATGCTTAACCATAAAGGGTATAATCTCCATCTTGAATTACAGGAACAGTTCCAAAAGGCTGTAAAATATAGGATGAACAAAGAACAAGAGTCAGAAAATGAAGAATTAAGGAAAAATATTTTTATATATACTTTTAGCAAGTTTAAAAAAATGAAAGGAGAATAGAACCTGTAATTTGAGGTACTGAGGATCTTTGTGTTCTCCCGTCAAGACATTAACAGGGACAACCTCAAATTCTATTTCCTTCTCAATCAGACAAACTAGAACCCGTTTGGCTGAGGCACACTGTGGGCCATAAACCTTCACTACCATGGTTTGGTTTTTCTTAGAAAAGAAAATGCTTCAATAAGAGAGAAGAAAGATTAAAAGTTTTTGGTTCGTTCACTTGATACTCTTATACACTATTTATAATGACAATGCTAAAGGTTCTTACGAAACTGCTGAGACAAAGCGATATTAAAAGCACATAATGTTATTTACATTTTTTGTGATAGAAGAAAATTGATATTAATTTAAATTGAAAATTAGTTCTCACATCAAATATTATAACTCTCTTCAATCACAGTTGCGAGTATCGAAAATGCAACCTCTTGTTTAAATATGTGAAAAAATAGTAAGCAAAAATCTTGAACAAACAAACAAAGGTGAGATGGATCGGTGGAATCATAGGACCACATGTCTGGCCAAGAATCGATCGGCGAGAATGATCTACACACATCTTTTAAATACAAACCAGGAAATTATCCGTGATTGTTGCATGGTTTTTTTTTATAGAAATTGTTGTTAAGTGATAAAGTCATATTCGCTAAAAATAAAATAAAATAGAGTAACGTATGAAACACAAGTTAAGAGATAAATATAATATAAATTTATTAAAAAATTATGTATTAATATTAATATAAAATTATAATTAATGTATTTATTTTTTTTTAATATAAATTTTTTATTTATATATTTTTTAACATGTGTCTATGGGGCACAAGTTAACATTACTCAAAAAAGATAATAGATAATCAATAAACTAAATTTATAATTAACAATTGAATTATAGTAATAATTTATATATTAATTGATGGTTAATTGTTAAGTGTATTTTCTTAGAGAAATAACTTGATAAAATTCAAATGTGAAAATTATAAGTAAAATAATTTTTATTTCACGAATATTTAAAAATAATTAATTTAATTAATTCTCTAATCACGAATTAATAATCAATTTCTTTTCAAAACATTTTACCCATGTATTTTATAGAATAAACTTTAATTAATTTAATTTTTATTTAAAAAATATCAAAATAATAAGTAAATAATCAGGTAAAATTTTTGCACTTCAATGACCTTTCTATTATCTATTTTTAAAAGTAAATTTTTAAAAAATGGCTTAATACACCATTTAATCTCTTAACTTTATAAGAAGTTTCGCTTTAGTCTCTTAACTAAAAAAAATGTTACATAGTGATTCCTTAACTTTATTTCCGTTAAACTATTTAGTCTTTTCCGTTAGTTTCGGTTGAAAAAATATTAAAAGATACCATGCTGGACTATTTATATATGATGTGGAATTTATTTATTTTAATATTGCTTAAGAGGATCTGACTCTCTTCCATCTTCATCACATGTTATTCTACCTTCTTTCATTGAAAACAACACTTTCTTCTATCCGCCACTTCCTGCCAAATGCTCAAGAACACATCCCTCACATAAACTAACTCCATTTCTATCTTTCTTCTTCCATCCAACACATTTACCACCCTTGCTTCTTCTTTTCACAAAAATCATCTTCACAAAAACTGATCCACTAAAAATTTCCTTTATCATTCTAAGAATACACTAAAACCAATCAAAACTCAAATGATATACATCCAACATAAAAATAACATGTCCTATATATCGTTTCATAATAGCACATAGAAAATTTATGTGAAAGCTTATTGCAACATCTTCTCTATTTTCAGTTCATATAAATGCTTAAAAAAACGTCTTAGCATGTATAACTAGAAAGAGGAAAATTAGCTTTAAAAAATAATAATTTGTGAAAGTGAAAACCTTCAAGACACAAAATCTCCAAATTACACTGTGTAGAAGAGTTTCCAAGTTGAGCAACCATGAGATACAAATCAATCACCTTACACTATCATGTGTAAACCACCATGGTTTTACCTCCAACCACCTCCATCGTGAGAACCACGCGTAGACACATCTAAACTTCAGATCCGCCATGGAGAGTGGGAGTGTAGTGCATCGAAGAAGAGGTTTGTGGCAGATTTATGATGCGCTTGGATCATATCCACCATTTTGTTGAGAAATTGTTTGAGAGATTTAGTTAGAAAATGATTTTGTTTAGTAAGAAGTGGAAATTTTAGAGCATAACTGTAAACTATAAACAACAATAACACTAATTTGAAATTTGATTAATTAACTTAAGTGTGAGGGAAATTTTGAGGAAAATCATTTCACAATACACACAAATGGAAGATGGATGAAAAGTGAAAAACAAAGAAAGAAGATGAACAAAAGTTGAGTGTTCATTGTACTATTTACATACCTGGCATGCCACCTCAGCCCTAATTAACGTTTTTTTCACCAAACTAACGGAAGAGACCAAATAATTTAACGGAAGAGAAGTTAAGGAACCATTACGTAATACTTTTTAGTTAGAGGACCAAACTGAAACTTCGCTTAAAGTTAAAGATCTAGGGACTAATTATGTCTAAAAAAAATTAAGTGTACTATAATTAATATAATATAGTTGCCCTTATTTTTTTATATCAAAGATATAAAAATAATGTCAATTTTAACTGATTTGTAATTGTAGTACAAAGATATTAATTTTAACTAATTTATAACTAATCCAACAAGGAGTCGTCATAAGTTCAGAGGATGATTCTTCTAAAATCTGGAGAGAAAAACTTAAAGCTATCTATGATAGATTTTGATGTTGGATTTCTACAAATATATGCCTTGTAATTATTAAACATCTAGTATTAAGCAATCTTGTTATTAAAATTTTGTTCATGTTCTTGCGTGTCTTAACTTTAATATTTTCATTTCTTATGTTGTTTGGAGAATGAAAAAATTAGGATTAAAACACAAAAACTTGCAACATGTTCATTGAAAGGCAGATTGAACATCTTCAAATGTCAATGAAACCCTTTCATACAAGAGAGTTTCGTTGAAGTGAGTATGAAACTTAGATAAAGAGCAGAAAAACAATAATGCTTGATCTTCATCATCAATCTTGACCTCAATATTTTCAAGATCAAGAATCAACTTGTTGAACATATCCAACTGCTCATCCAAGACTTTGTCTTCACTCATATTGAACGAATACAAAGTTTGCTTTAGGTATAAACGATTAACCAACGATTTCTTCATATATAAACCTTTAAGTTTGGTCCACACACCAACTATAGTTTTCTCCTTTGAAATCTGCCAGAGAACCTCATCACGAAGGCTCAACACAATGGCACTGTGGGTTTTTTCGACCACTGTTGTCTTCTCCTTTTATGATAGAACAACATTCATCTTCTCTGATCCTTTCAACGCTTCTAACAAACCCTGTTGAACAAGAAGGACTTGCATCTTCAAGCGCTACAAACCGAAATCATTCACACCGGTGAATTTCTCAATCTCATACTTTGTTTACGACATCTTCTTCTCCACGCTCACCACACTAGTTTGTTGTGAATTGATGTCCTCAAGAACAAACCAAAATATGAGAAAAATATTGAGTTTCTTGAACAAATCCAAGAAACCCTATTAGGTTTTATAAAAGATAGAGAAGAAGGAAGAAGAATAGAGAATTGGTTAAAACTGTTTGACTATTCACTTTCTCAATAAGGGTTCAAAGATTATAAGTGAATACCAACAATTAACCTCTCTCAACAATCTAAGAGAACTAGTCTATTTGTAGACTAATAAGCTAACTTAAGATACAAGTTAACTTAACAATTGATCTTACGAGCAATTGCCCAATTTGACATGCTAACAATTCTAGCATTTCGACTACTGCATGCTTGAGCACACTTCGACTACAACACACAAGATCAACATATGGCCAGACTTCAATTTCATACTAAACCTTCTTTCAAACCATAAAGTTACCCTTGTCGCACTAGAGTTCGATTCAAAATATCACATTTACTATATAAAGAGAACTTGTGTTCAATTTAAAAAGACATATGAAATTTGAATATTACTCATTCTCTTACTCTCATTCTCTTTATAGAAATTTGATATTCATTTTAAAATATTTTAGTGTTGAGAAACAAAAACACATAATAAGAATTGTTCTTGTGTAATTGTTAATTAATGTGTTTGTATTGTATTGTAAATCAACGTTATAATTTTTTTCTTAATTAAAAAAGATTAAAAAAATGCAATGTATTTTAAAAGCTGAAACTAATATCATTATTGCTTTTGATATTGGTGAATATCCAACAATATCAAATTAAAAATATTTTTCAATATTCTCTTTCCTAATTATTTGGTAAAATTGTGTAGTTCCACTCTTTACTAAAATAATAAAATTCATGTAAATTCTATTTAATATAAAAATGAAAATTGCAAATAATTTGTTAAAGTGAATATTTTTAGCACTCATAAACTTGATATTATTTGGTTATCCGTATATTATATATGAAAAGTGAAAAATGGTTTTATATATTTAACAACCCCTCATCAAATTTGAAATAAGATTAAAATAATCTCTTAGTATTGTTCAATAACAAATTCCTAGATATAGAGAAACCATTATATGTAGTTTCTTTTTGCAATATAGTTGATTTTTGGAACTGCGTCTTATCTTTGCTAACTCACATGTGGTGGTGGTTAACGATATGATTAAGGGTAATATGATAGGAAAGAGGACTAATTAACATGAAATTGGTTGGGAAAGCGTTGGAAATACGTAATTTTAATAAGATAGGAAAGAAAGAATAATGTTAATTATCTCGAGACTTATTATCTTGTTAGAAATTTTCAATGTTTATCTAAATAACGTACTTTGACAAAAATGGGCTGTCAAAAACGTAGAGGAGGTAGGATGGAAAGTTGGTCAGATCTAGTATGGATCATACATGGACGTTAGTTGGAGTCGGTGGCTCTCCTAGGGTTTCCTCATCGAAAATCCTGGGGAAGAGGATCAAGCTGGCCCTTGCGAACAACTTGATGCACTATCTCCCTTCAACCCTTATAAGAGCGAAATGCGGGAAAACAAAAGGAAAGAAAATCCATCGGGCCACAAGAAGAATTATTAATTAATTTAAATATTAATATTTAATAAAATTAATTAATAATTTAATTAACTTAATTAAATAAAAATATTTAAAATAACTAATAATCATAACATTTTTTACATTTTTTAATATCAAATAACTAAATAAACTAAAAAATGACAATATTAAAGAAATAAATGATAAAAATATTATTTTGACATTTTTTAATATTCAACAAAATTTAAAAAATAAAAATAATAAATAATAAATAAAAATAAGATAAAAACAAAAGGTTGGGCGGTGGTACATATACATCAGGGAGAGATAACATGCTTTGATTATACAATAAATTTGATTATTATCATTTAAAAAGGTAAGAGATAGACTAATCTAATAATTATAACTTGTGTTCTACAACTTAAATATTAATATTTATCATTTTAATTAACCTATTACAACAATACTATAGTTAGAGTATCAAAAGTTAACAATAAAAAAAGATCCAACACTAAATTAATTATTTAAAGTATTTTATTTTTGTACTTCTTTCGGAGCCGAGTGATATAAGTAGTACGCAAGCTGTATGAAAATTCCAATCACATTCAACAAACAAACAAAAAAGCATATGTCATTAAAGGGTAGAGATAACAACATCTAAAACAAAATTAGAATTAAACTTTAGCTTAAACTTTAAAAGAGTAAACAAACAAAAACCAAAATTTAAAGACATAATGAAGAAAAATAAGCTTGAGTGAAAAATCCAGAACAAGCCCCATAATAATAAACAACAAGAGAAAATAGAAACCTATATATTATAATTGAAATTGTATAAAAAAGAGAAAAAAAATACTAACTAGAAAGGTGGATAAGTAATTGTGAAAAATGAGAAAATGGAATCTGCTAAATCACTAGATGATCATCAAACAATGGTGTGTATGTGTGGATTATTATGAGATGAGAGAGGCTATTGTCACATGGTGTCTAGCCTTTTGTGTTTCTGATAGCAAGTATTTCAAATTGAGAGTTTTTGTAATTTTTTCCTTGTGCCGCGTGAGTTGTGTCTGCTATATGTGTATGTTGTTGGCTTTTTACAAAATAAAGTAGAAAACAAAATACCTTTTTAAAACTTGTTAATCAAGTAACGTTAAAAATAAAAAAATAAAAAACAAAATTAATATTATATATATAAAAAATATAATAAATAAAATAAAAATAAAATAAACTATCATAAAATAAATAATCTAAAATAAAAATTGATTAATTAAAATAATTAACAAATAAAAATAGAAATAAAAGCAGTAAAAAAGAATAATTATACTGATACCAAAGTGTTCAGAAAAATAAAATGAATACACCAAAGTGATCAGGCAAAAAAAACAATTCGGAAAAATACAGCGTTTGGTCAAATTTTGAAATAAACTTTACTTGGTTAAATGGCTTAAATTGTCCAAAAATGCGACCGAAAAGTGATCGAAAAAATTAAATGAGCACGCCAAGTTAAACTACGCGAAATACAGATTAATATCACAAACGTTTGCAGGCTCGATTTTAAAATTTTTCGTTCACTGATTTTACGCACAATTGACTTTTGATTTGACCGATTCGGCTGTAAATCCAACAAATTTATTTCAGCTGATAAATTGGATATTATGTAAGAGTGACTGACCTTGAATGATATGTTGAAGATCAAAGAATCTGAGGGTAAAATTTGGGGTATGATAGCAAATATCAAAGGAGACTATAACATCGGGATTATGGGTGAAAATTGAAAATTTGTACATGACCAAATCTCTGGTGAATCGGCTCTACCTGAAGCAAGCTTTGTATTCATTCAAGATGAGTGAAGACAGAGTGTTGGCTGAGCAGTTGGATATGTTCAACAAGTTGATTCTTGATCTTGAAAATATTGATGTGAAGATCGATGGTTAAGATCAAGCACTATTGTTGTTATTGTTGTGTGTTTTGCTCATAACACATGCTCACTTCAAAGAAACTCTCTTGTATGGAAGGGAGTCCCTGAGTTTTGAAGAATTTCAATCAACCTTATATTCTAAGGACTTGAACGAACGAAAGGAGCACAAACCTTCGACGGTGGGCGAAGGTTTGGCCGTTAAGGAAAAATTCTTGCGAAAAGATGGTAAGTTCGACAAGAAGAAAGGTAAAAGTCAACAACAGTTTTATAGTGGCGAAACATCTAGTATTCGATGTTATCACTGTAAGATGGAGGGTCACACAAGAAAGGTGTGCCTTGAACGTCTGAAAGATCATGAAGGTAAGGATAATGACAACACAACCATTGTTCAAGATGACTTCGACTCATCTAATGTTCTTGTGGTTTCAAGTGGCGACTCAAGAAAAGAGTGGATTATGGATTTAGGTTGAACTTGGAACATGACTCCAAAGAGAGAATTGTTTGAGGAGCCATGTGATCAAGATGGTGGATCGGTGTTGCTTAGAAACAACAAATCTTGCAAATTTGAAGGTATTGGATCTGTGAGATTCAAGCTCCATGATGAGTCAATAAGGTTATTAACTGATGTCAGGTATGTACCTGATTTGAAGATAAATTTGATTTTTCTTGGTGAATTCGACAGAAAGGGATATGTTTTCCAAATGGAGAAAAGTATCCTAAGAGTTATGAAGGGGTCTAAGGAAGTCTTGAGAGGCATAAAGAAACAAGGCTTGTATACCCTTGAGGTTGAGGTTATAAGTGGTTCGACAGATGTTTCATCCACGAAACCTGTGTCAAAGACAAAATTATGGCACATGAGATTTGGTCATGTCAGCGAAAGAGGTCTGATCGAATTGGGGAAGCAGGACCTGCTAGGAGGTGACAAAGTCGAAAAGTTGGAGTTTTGTGAATCTTGTGTATTTGGTAAATCCTGTAGGGTGGAGTTTAACAAAGAGAAGCAAAGAACACATGGATCCCTGGATTACATTCATGCTGATCTTTGGGGTCTGCAAGGAATTCTTCACACTCAGGTGTAAGATATTTTCTATCCATCGTTGATGACTATTCCAGAAAGCTATGAGTATTCATTCAGAAGACGAAGGATGAAACTTTTGAGAATTTCAAAAGTTGGAAGGTTCTGGTCGAAACTCAAACTGGCAAATAGCTCAAGAGGTTGAGAATTGACAATGGCCTTGAGTTCTGCAACGAAGCGTTCGACAATTACTGTGTTGAGTCTGGGATTGTAAGGCATAAGATTGTAGCAGATAATCCTCAACAAAATGGTTTAGCTGAGAGATTCAATCGAATAATCCTTGAAAGGTTTAGATGCATGTTGGTTAGTGCTGGATTGAAAAGGTGTTTTGGGCAGAGGCTGCTTCGACAACAGCCTATCTGATAAATAGATGTTCATCGACTGCCTTGGGAATAAAGACACCTGAAGAAGTTTGGTTGGTACATCCACCTAGTCTCGACAGACTGAGAGTATTTGGTTGCGTAGCCTATGTTCATACTAGGCAAGACAAGGTCAAACCTAGAGCTCTAAAATGCATGTTCATGGGATACCTGAAGGAGTTAAAGCCTATATGCTATGGTGCCTAGAGTCAGGTCACATGAGGTGTATCACCAGTCGAGATGTAGTTTTCAATGAAGCAGAGATGACTTTCAAGAAAATTGATGATGCTGACGAAGAGCTGGAATAGGGAGAGATTCCTGTTGAGGTGGAGTATGTTGATGCTGAATTGTGTATCCCAGATGAAGTCGAAGAAGACGCATAAGATGTTGTCGAAGATGAGGAGACTGATAATGACTACCTGCTAGCAAGAGACAGATCGAGGAAAAGCATCAAGCTACCTCAGAGACTTCGGTATGCATATCTTATAGCTTATGCCTTAATCTCTGCAAGTGAGGTTCTAGGCAAGGAATCTAGATACTATAAGGAAGTTATAAGGAGTCGAAAGAAGACTGAATGACTGAAGGGCAAGGATGATGAGATGAAACTACTTCATGATAATAACACCTAGGAGCTGATCAAAAAACCTGCTGGAGCCCGGTAAGTCAGCTGTAAATAGAATTTCAAAGTTAAGGAAACAATCAAAGGAGTAACATCAAAGAAACACAAGACAAGATTGGTCGTTAGGGGGTTCACTCAGAAAGTGGACCACAAAGGAGTGACACCAATGGACTATGAACATATCAATTTATAGTGAGAAAGAAACTTAGCATTGATACGGTTTCTTAAACAAAATGATGCAATAAAAAGGAAACATGAAATCCTATAAAAGCACAGCAACTAAACGGTGTTATACAATTTGGTTCCATTATTGATGAATTGATTTAATTTGAGATTTGCAGTGTTATTTGAGCTATTTAGATTGTAATATAACTATACTCAGTTCCCAGAAATAATAAACATTTAAAGTGTCATGACTACTACAAACCAAAAAAATGGAATTTTGTCTAAAATTTGTGCCAAAATAAGTGTTTTTTTTTTCCTTCAGAATCCTAAGATTTTGAGATGATTTTCGGTTCAAAACTAAATCCTAAGACATTTATGAATTACATTTACAAAACATTCTAGGACAATTTAATCTGATACTTGATTCATAATATAATCAATCAAATTGCCTAAATAAGAGTAAGAAGATCCTCCTTCTAACAAAGTTTTCTTACTCTTTTCGCTCATTTCTTTCACTTTCTTCCTTACCTCTCCATTCTTATCCAACACACTCTTTATTCCTCTCTCAATCTTGTCTGCAGTTACAACATAGTTACGCTCGCCATAATAGCCCTCCCTATAGTCCAATGCAACCTCCACACCCGTCTTCAACTCACACACCAATTCAAAAGCATTTGTCTGTTGTTCTGAATGAATAGGCCATGCGGCAATAGGCACACCAAAATATATGCTCTCCAGTATGGAATTCCAACCACAGTGCGAAACAAATCCTCCTATAGCTTGGTGGGCAAGTATTTGAGCCTGCGGGGTCCAACCAACAACCTTTCCAATTTCAGCAGTCCGATCTAAAAATCCATCGGGTAGAAGCAATTCCAATTCTGAAAGTGAATAATTTGACGGCGGTTGCCTAAAGCCTTTCGACGAAAGTTTACGCAGAGACCACACGAAGCGAACACCAATATTTTCAATAGCATGTGCTATCTCCTTAACCTGCTCCTCGTCGAAAGAACCCATGCTCCCGAAGCAGAGAAAAACTACCGACGAAGGAGGTTGATCATCAAGCCATTTCATGATATTATCCGATCCAACGATTTTATCTATTTTGAGGTTAGGGTTTAATAACGGTCCCACCGGATATACAGTTGGTAAGCCTGCTAGATCAGGATGAGAGGAAAAAGATTGAACTGCATGTGATTCGAGCTCTTCAAATGAATTTACTATAATGCCATTTGGTTTCTTGAGGCCACTTGCAAAATTTATAAAAAACGATTCCCATTCCTTACGCAGCACAAAACTGGGCAACGAGTTTGAAGGAACCAGGCTGTTGAAACTTGGGATGGCCAACTCGTTCTGCTGCAGAAACCGAGTCAAAGCGCCGTTGTCTCTTTCAAAAAGAGTGTGAAGATGAAACATCAAACCAAGGAAAGCAACGCCGGAAGTGAAGAAGACGAGCGCAGGGACGGAATATTCTTTGGCAATATCAACCATGGTAGTGCCGAACATGTCGACAACAAAAGCAGCGAGAGGTCCATGTTGTTGTTCTTGGGCAGTGAGGTTAGAGACGGCTTGTTTTACGTTTGGTTTTTGAGCTTCGAGGAGAGCGTTAACGACGGAGGAACGTCGATGGATGTTTGGAGGAAGTGAAACTTGAGGAAGGTTGATGAGGTGAAGTGAATCGGATTGAATGTTGAGATCGGGTTGAGGTTCAGTGTTGTTTGGGAATTTCATAACTAAGACGGTTATTCGAATACGGTTATGACGGTTGATTAAAAGCTTAGCGAACTCAAGAGTTGAAACAAGGTGGCTCAAACCAGGATGAGGGATGATAACCACTTGTGCTTTCTTCATCTTCAATTTTCACTTTCTCAAACACAATAGACAGTAGTACATAAATAAAAATTATTGAGCACATGTAGCACCACTGAACTTTAGCAGTGTTAGATGATGATTGATGTAAGTCTTTTTTAATTAAGAGGAATCTTGAAGTGATGTCTTTGCTGGATGGGATGACCACTTTGTGATTGAAAGGTTTGTCTTCATTTCTTTGGGAGTAGGGCTGGAAATGAGTCGAGTCGAGTCGAACTCACCTCAGCTCGGCTCGACTCGTTAAGAATTGTTCGAATTCGAGTTCGAGTTCGAGTTCGATACGAACTTTTTTTTAAGCTCAAACTCGACTCGTTATAAGTTCACGAATAGTTCGGTTCGACTCGTTAGGTTCATCTCATTAGGTTCAGCTCACATGGTTCACGAACTTAAAAACTATTTTTTTAAATATATATATTTTTTAGTATATTTGACATTTTAAATAAATATATATATTTTAAATAAAATATTAAAATAAAATAAAATTTATCATATTGAAATTTAACTTTATCTTCGAAATCTACTAATTCAAAAACTACACAATTTTCAAGAGATACATTTGAGAGTCTAATTCAAAAACTACTAAATTGAAGATTAAATTTGTCTAAGATTTGAAGTAAATATTTAAACTTAATCTTAAAGACAATATAATTCTTTTCATATGTAATCGAGTTGACTCATGAACCTAACGAGTCGAACTATGTATAGTTCAAGTTCAGCTCATTTAGTTAACGAACTTAATTTTTTGCTCATACTCAACTCATTTGGTTCATGAACCTAGTTCAACGATTTAATTGTCGAGTCGAATTCCGAACTATCTTCGAGTTGGTTTGGTTCATTGCCAGCCCTATTTGGGAGAAAAAAATGGAAAGATGGTGGGAGCCAGGTAGGAGTATTATTATTCAAAAAGGAATTAAGAGATAAGTTTTGTGTTGAAAAATTTACTTTTTAATTTCATGAAATAATTATTATATTTAATTTATATAATCAGATAAATTGAATTAAAAAATAAATTTTTATTTTTAGTGTATGGATAGGGCTGGCAATGAACCAAGCCAATTCGAAGATAGTTCGGAATTCGACTTGACAATTAAATCGTTGAACTAGGTTCATGAACCAAATGAGTTGAGTATGAGTGAAAAATTAAGTTCGTTAACTAAATAAGCTGAACTTGAACTATACATAGTTCGACTCGTTAGGTTCATGAGTCAACTCGATTACATATGAAAAGAATTATACTGTCTTTAAGATTATGTTTAAATACTTACTTCAAATCTTAAACAAATTTAATCTTCAATTTAGTAGTTTTTGAATTAGACTCTCAAATGTATCTCTTGAAAGTTGTGTAGGTTTTGAATTAGTAGATTTCGAAGATAAAATTAAATTTCAATATGATAACTTTTATTTTATTTTAATATTTTATTTAAAATATATATATTTATTTAAAATGTCAAATATACTAAAATATATATATATATATATATTTAAAAAAATAGTTTTTAAGTTCGTGAACCATGTGAGCTGAACCTAATGAGATGAACCTAACGAGTCGAACCGAACTGTTCGTGAACTTATAACGAGTCAAGTTTGAGCTTAAAAAAAAGTTCGTGTCAAACTCGAATTCGAACAATTCTTAACGAGTCGAGCCGAGTTAAGGTGAGTTCGACTCGACTCGACTCATTTCCAGCCCTATGTATAGACAATGAAAATAAAATAATTTATGGTTTTGTTGAATACGTTTCTCCTTGAATTATAGAAAAAAGTATTGTTTATGATGCATACTAATGTTATTTGATATATTAACTATTAGCTAAGTATATGTATTTTGTCTTCTTTTCGTATCTATCTATTTATGCTATCTATTCATGCATGCATGAATGTGATGAGAGAAATCAATTTCATGAAGATCTTCATCTTCACATGTGTTTTATTGCGTTGTCCTCAATGAAACGCAAACTCAGACACGAACACAAGAACACCACTAATATAAAAAATATAAGACACAGACACGGTTATATATATTTTATATATTAATATAATAATGCAATTTATGAGCACAATTTATAAAGAGTTTAAAATGAGAAGTAAAATTTATGTTTATTTAAAATTAATACTTTCAATCAATAAAAAAAAGTCATAAATCCACCAAATCAAATGATGGCTTATTTTGTATGGGTAAAATGATTTTCTCATGTGTGTATTGTATAGACCTGTTGTATTGTTGTATTGGTCATGCAGCCATGTTAGTAGGGTTGTTGTTGTGTACATGTTTCTATGATGTCATTCTGATTGGAACTATCATGGTAGCTAGGATGTGTACATGGTAGGCATGTTGAATTGTATCATGGCATGGTAGGTTCTATGTTATGTATTTGCATGTGTATGGTCTTCCTTATGTTTATGGTGTGTTAAAATGGTATAGCAACTTAACCTTATGCCTGACACAATTGGATGACATGATTTTTCTTGGACATAATAAATGTGTAGGGATGTATGTATTGTACTTGAATTGGACTGGTATAGACTTTAGAATGGTATGTTTTTAGGATGCATTGTATTTGGATATATGTTGTCATGTGAATCATGGTTTGGATTGAGTGTGTTTCATGATATGCATTTCCCTGTGTTTGGAGTAACATTGAATGATGTTGCTATTGTTTAAACATTGCATGGTTGTTTTGGCTTGGCATATCAAGGTAAAAGAGGAATTCAAAGCATGGCATGAAGGTTTTTGTGTGATGTTTAAACATGAAGGTAACATGAGAGTTGGTCATGAAGATGAAGATGATGATGACATGAAACTTGGACATGATGACAATGAAAGCTTAAAGGAAAAGTGAGAATCATGAAGGTGAAGAAAGAAATAGGTCTAGGATCAAATTGACTTTGGTTAACTGTTTGACCAAAAAGTCAATAATTGACTAAAAGTTAACCTTAGGTTAAATTTAGGTTTTTTTTTGGTAATTTTATTTCTGCATTTTGTAATGTGTTTTTTGGTGTTTGGATGTAAATTTGACAATCTATGTAACTTGTGACTTATTTTTCAATAAATAGACTTTCCCTCCATTTTATATTATTTGAAAAATTGAACTTTGTCTTATTCTTTGAATTTGAATCCTCGTTTACATGCTTTAAACATAAAGATCTTAGCATAATCCAATGAAAGAAATACAAAACGGACCAAATATGACTTGGTCAACAAAAAGTCAACCCTCAATGGTTGACTTTGTTGACCAAAAGTCAATCCTTATATGAATATTTTCTATTTCTTCTCTTTTCAAAGGTACGCCTAAGATAACTTGAATAGGAAAGTCCCCAAATGATCCAAGTCAACAGTCAATCTCCAAAAGTTGTCTTTGACCAAAAGTCGACATCATACAATAACTTCTTTTCTAAGCAATTCTCAAAAGATGACCCATGAACCCAAGCAACAAAAGGAAACCTTATCCCATAGAGATCTCTGGAATATCTTGTATCATAAGTAACCACTACGAACCAATAAATCCTTTGGTCAAATTATCCATATCCAAGTATTGAGAACCCTTTGAACCAATGATGATAATGTGTGCATATGGATGAATGATCTAGCCTAAAAATGTAGGGTCAAGGTAAATGTATGAAACCATAAACTAGATGAAATTGAATTAAAAGGTAGTGAAAAATTTGGGGTATGACACTAGGTTGCTGATAAATTTTGTCAACCGGTTCTTCTGGTACCGAGCCTAAACTGAAAGATCATCTTCCTTATATACATAAAGGCATTTCTCCATCAAGAAATGAATTTCAGACCACTACTTAGGAAATAACTCAACATATCTTCTTTCCACTCTGTCTCCAATGGTGCAAACCGTAGAATGTGCTTTTGGGCCGATGGGAACGACCATAAAGAACAAATATTTGAATTGTTGTAGTAGTGGAAGAGGCCAAAAGTTACACACCTTCGGCTCCGAATAGAATAATCCTCTACCCTAAGCTTGAGTTGCAGAGACCCATTAGCATTTAAAGAGATGAAAGAAAAGGATCACATAAGGCTTTCTGTTCACATATTCACACCAATACTTGTATACCTTCACATATGTCCAGTTGGCAGGATGAAGTTGTGAATGAGTCATAACCAAATGCATCAGAACTTCTATCTCAAAGGCAGTGAAGGGGAGACGAAGACCCATAGCGTAGAAAGTGCATTCATAAAAAGAGTTGATGCAATGTCCATACTTGTCGCATATTCTTTCATCCTCGATGGGACTCAAAATTTCTCGGTAGAAAGATGGACCGACTTCAGTAAATATGTCATTACGATTGCCCATTTTCATGAAAGCAAAGACAGTGGAAAATAGATAGGATCCATCCAAGTTTCAAATTCAATTTCACTTCACTCTTCTTTGCATATACTAAATTGAGCGTTAGAATGATAACCTTGCAGTTCCCCTCATTCCACCGTATCAAAAGCCTTAGTCCACCATCACCACTGCTTCTTATCTCATTTCTAATTCCTGAATGAAACAATTTCTACGAAAATTTTAAGTTCCTCGACACTAATTTTACAGTGACACCTATAAAGATAATGTCAAATATCATAGAGGGAAAGGATGATGAAGTTGTAGATCCTTTTATGTTTAGGCAACTAATTTTCGAATTGAGGTATATATGCTAAAGTAGACATGACATTTTCTTTTATGTGGGAGTAGTAAGCAAATTCATGAGCAATCCGATGAAAACAGATATGCTAGCTTTCAAAATAGTGTTGAGGTACATCCATGGAACTATCCATTATTGCATCCTTTTTCCTAACTCACTAATGCCAAACGAACTAGAAATGAAAGGTTTCTCTAATGCTGACCGAAGTGTTGACAAAGTAGATAGAAAGAGTAAAATTAACTATATAAGATCAATTGGAAGATTTGTTTCCCAAATATAACAAAATAGACTAAGTTTTAAAGCATATGAGAGAAATTATAATCATTATTATTGATTAGCTTAAGATT